GGAGTTCCTGCAACCTTTTTGTCTGGCAGGCAAGACTCAGGGAGGTTATGGTTATAAGGTAAGCCTGAGTCTTCCTTCACTCCTCCACGGGTCTAGGCCGGAGCTGTTAACAGTAGTTCCCCCGTGTTTGACTGAAGGGCTTCCAGGGTAAATCAGTCGCACCCCTTTTGTGGTGGAAGCAAAGACCTGCGAAGGTGGGCATTGTTGGTCCTCTCCTGTGTGACCAAGGAGACTCCGGTGAATCCCGGGAGTCGGAGGGGCTGAGTATTTGGGCCTTTTGAGCCCCTAGCAGCTAAGTGTTAGCAGAGCCCCGGCCCACCTCCACGTGACAACACCCAACAATGCCCCCTGGTCCAGACACCCAACTATGCTCCCTGGGCCAGACACTCAACCATGACCTCTGGTCCAGACACCCAACCATGCCCCCTGGTCAAGACACCCAACAATGTCCCCTGGTCCAGACATTCGACAATGCCCTTTGGTCCAAACAACCAACCATGTCCTCTTGTCCAGACACCCAAACATGCCCCGTGGTTCAGAAACCCAACAATGCCCCCTTTGGTCCAGACATCAAATCCTGCCACCTAGTCCAGACATCAAATCCTGCCACCTAGTCCAGACACCCAGCCATGCCCTCTGGTCAAGACCATGCCCCCCAGGACCAGACGCCCGACAACGCCCTCTGGTCCAGACACCCAACCATGCCCCTTTTTCCAGACACCCAACCATGCCCGCTGGTCCAGACACGCAACTATGCCCCCTTCAACCAAACACCCAACCATGCCCTCTGGTCCAGACAGCCAATAATGATCCCCCTTGGTCTAGATACCCAACCATGCCCCCCTGGTCCAGACACCCAACAATGTCCCCTGGTACAGACACCCATCCATGCCCTCTGGTCCAGACTCCCAATAATGCCCCCCTGGTCCAAACACCAAATAAAGTCCCCTGGTCCAGACACACAGCCATGCCCTCTGGTCCAGACATCCATCCATGCCCCTTAGTCGAGACACCAAACCATGCCCCCCTTGTCCAGTCACCCAACCATGCCCCCTGGTCGATATACCCAACCATGCTCCCTGGTCCAGACACCCAACAATGCTCCCCTGGTCCAGACACCCAACATTGTCCCCTGGTCCAGACACCCAACAATGCCCCCTGGTCCAGACACCCAACAATGCCCCCTGGTCCAGACACCCAACAATTCCCCCTTGTCCAAACACTCAACCATGCCTTCTAGTCCAGACACCCAACTATGCCCCTGGTCCAGGCACCCAACCATGCCCTCTGGTTCAGACACCCGACAATGCCCCCTGGTCCAAACACTCAACAATGCCCTTTGGTCCAAAAAACCAACCATGTCCTCTTGTCCAGACACCCAAACATGCCCTCGTGGTTCAGACACCCATCAATGCCCACTTGGTCCAGACATCCAATCCTGCCACCAGGTCCAGACACCCAACAATGCCCTCTGGTCAAGACCATGCCCTCTGGTCAAGACCATGCCCCCTGGTCCAGACACCCGACAATGCCCTCTGGTCGAGACACCCAACCATGCCCATTGGTCCAGACACCCAACCATGCCCGCTGGTCGAGACACGCAACTATGCCCCCTTCAACCAAACACCCAACCATGCCCTCTGGTCCAGACAGCCAATAATGATCCCCCTTGGTCTAGATACCCAACCATGCCCTCTGGTCTAGATACCCAACCATGCCCCCCTGGTCCAGACACCCAACAATGTCCCCTGGTACAGACACCCATCCATGCCCTCTGGTCCAGACTCCCAATAATGCCCCCCTGGTCCAAACACCTAATAAAGTCCCATGGTCCAGACACACAGCCATGCCCTCTGGTCCAGACATCCATCCATGCCCCTTAGTCGAGACACCAAACCATGCCCCCCTTGTCCAGTCACCCAACCATGCCCCCTGGTCGATATACCCAACCATGCTCCCTGGTCCAGACACCCAACAATGCCCCCCTGGTCCAGACACCCAACATTGTCCCCTGGTCCAGACACCCAACAATGCCCCCTGGTCCAGACACCCAACAATGCCCCCTGGTCCAGACACCCAACAATTCCCCCTTGTCCAAACACTCAACCATGCCTTCTAGTCCAGACACCCAACTATGCCCCTGGTCCAGGCACCCAACCATGCCCTCTGGTTCAGACACCCGACAATGCCCCCTGGTCCAAACACTCAACAATGCCCTTTGGTCCAAAAAACCAACCATGTCCTCTTGTCCAGACACCCAAACATGCCCTCGTGGTTCAGACACCCATCAATGCCCACTTGGTCCAGACATCCAATCCTGCCACCAGGTCCAGACACCCAACAATGCCCTCTGGTCAAGACCATGCCCTCTGGTCAAGACCATGCCCCCTGGTCCAGACACCCGACAATGCCCTCTGGTCGAGACACCCAACCATGCCCATTGGTCCAGACACCCAACCATGCCCGCTGGTCAAGACACGCAACCATGCCCCCTTGGACCAAACACCCAACCATGCCCTCTGGTCCAGACACCCAATAATGCCCCCTTGGTCCAGACACCTAACCATGCCCTCTGATCCAGACACCCAACCATGCCCCCCTGGTCCAGACACCCAACAATGCCCCCCCTGGTCCAGACACCCAACCAATCCCCCCTGGTCCAGACACCCAAAAATGCCCCCTGGTCCTGACACTTAACCATGCCCTCTGGTCCAGACACCCGGCAATGCCGTCTGGTCCAGACACCCATCAATGCCCCTTGGTCCAGATACCCTACAATGTCCCCTGGTCCAAACACACAACCATGCCTTCTGGTCCAGACACGCAATTATGCCCTCTGGTCCAGATACCCAACTATGCCCGCTGGTCCAGACACGCAACCATGCCCCCTTGGACCAAACACCCAACCATGCCCTCTGGTCCAGACACCCAATAATGCCCCCTTGGTCCAGACACCTAACCATGCCCTCTGCTCCAGACACCCAACCATGCCCCCCTGGTCCAGACACCCAATAAAGTCCCCTGGTTCAGACACCCAACCATGACTCATGGTCCAGACACCCAACCATGCCCCCCTGGTCCAGACACCCAACAATGCCCCATGGTCCAGAGACCCAACCATGCTTCCTGCTCCAGACACCCAACAATGCCCCTTGGTCCAGACAACAAACCATGCCCTCTGGTCCAGACACCCAACAAAGCCCCCCTCCCTGGTCGAGACACCCAACAATGTCCCCTGGTCCAGACATCCAATCTTGCCCCCTGGTCCAGACACGCAACCAAGCCCTCTGGTCCAGATACCCAACCATGCCCGTTGGTCCAGACACGCAACCATGCCCCCTTGGACCAAACACAGCAACCATACCCCCTGGTCCAGACACCCAATAATGCCCCCCTGGTCCAGACACCCAACCATGCCCTCTGGTCCAGACACCCAACCATGCCCCCCCTGGTTCAGACACCCAACCATGCCCTCTGGTCCAGACTCCCAACAATGTCCCCTGGTCCAGGCAGCCAACAATGCCCTCTGGTCCAAACACCCAATAATGCCCCCTTGGTCCAGACACCCAATAATGTCCCCTGGTCCAGACACCCAATCATGGCCCATGGTCCAGACACCCAACCATGCCCCCCTGGTAAAGACACCTAATCATGCCCTCTGGTCCAGAGACCCAACCATGCCCCCTAGTCAAAACACCCAACCATGCCCTCCTGGTCGATTCACCTAACCATGCTCTCTGGTCGAGATTCCCAACCATGCTCCCTGGTCCAGACACGCAACTATGCCCCCTGGTCCAGACACCCAACCATTCCCCCTTGGTCCAGACACTCAACAATGCCCCCCTGGTCCAGACACCCAACAATGCCCCCTGGTCCAGACACCCAACCATTCCCCCTGGTCCAGACACCCAACCATGCTTCCTGATCCAGACACCCAACAATGCCCCCTGGTCCAGACAACAAACCATGCCCTCTGGTCCAGAGACCCAACAATGCCCCCGTGGTCCAGACACCCAACCATGCCCCTTGGTCCAGACACCCAACCATGCCCCCTGGTCCAGACACCGAACCATTCCCTCTGGTCCAGACACCCGACAATGCCCTCAGGTCCAGACACCCAACCATGCCACTTGGTCCAGACACCCAACCATGCCCCCTGGTCCAAACTCCCGACCATGCCCTCCCTGATCCATACACCCAACCATGCCCCCCTGGTTCAGACACCCGACCATTCAACACAGTGCACATATGACAACCAGTCTTGGGCATAGAAATTCACTTATATAGTTTCTTATTTCCAGTGTACTGTCCATGCTCCAAGTTGACATGGGACCCCCTCCCCAGGGACCCGGGGATATTAACCAACACACTCTACTGGGGACAAGCCAAGCACGAAACTCTCTTCCCGTTGTAGTGACTTCCTGAGAGAATAAGAACTGCTTGTGAAATATTAATCTAAACATGACCTGCCTGTAACTTAAAATTGGAACCTTGAACTTATTGAATTAATTAAACTTGTCTATTTCAGTTTGATATTTTTTATCAGTGTATTTATTAGTCCTATAGTCCTGATCTTAAACCTGTCTAAAATAGAATTACATTATTTCAATTAAAACAATAATTGGTTTATCTGTTATCTATCCCCATTTCTTTCCAACTTCTCTCCCGAATTTTATCCTAAGGTTTATCGCTTGCTTTAATTTCGCATGTATTCTATTATTGTTATTTTTGTTTAGTTCTCAAGGTTTTTAATATGCAAATCTGTTTGTAAATTCTTATTTCGAGTCTCGTAACAGTTTAACTTGTGCCCCCTGACCTAGGCACTCCGGTACTGGTAAGGCTGGCAGGACGCTTGGGCAATTGATGTGTTTTCTTTAAAAGAATATAGGCTGTGTTAATAGGATATTTCACAATTCAATTAACCTCTCTATAATCTATCAGTACAACGTATCTTTACACACTGAGTATAATATTTGTATATGTTTGTAATGGCAGCTTACCTCTGCAGGGGACACACTGGGTAAGGACGCGGGACCCGAGCAGGATGGTGGTGTGGGTGTAGTGGGGTGGGCAGCGCTCCACACACTCCTCAGTGTCCCACTTGATGGCGTAGTTGTCAGAGCACAGCTCACGGCGCTCACACCTGTGCTTCGCCACCTGTCGTTGAGGAGTGGAGGAGACAAACACAATGTAATTTACTGTGTACACACGTGTACAGGTGTGGTGGCTGGAGGGAGGCAGCCGTTGTACACCTCATAAATCTAGAAACATGTATCAACAAGGAATAAAAAAAAACATAAACACAACACATTTATGTACGAGCCGGCAAGAGTGTAGACTGCTACAACCCTTGGTATAAAGAGTAGTACACACTCTGGTATAAAGAGTAGTACACACTCTGGTATAAAGAGTAGTACACACTCTGGTATAAAGAGTAGTACACACTCTGGTATAAAGAGTAGTACACACTCTGGTATAAAGAGTAGTACACACTCTGGTATAAAGAGTAGTACACACTCTGGTATAAAGAGTAGTACACACACTGGTATAAAGAGTAGTACACACTCTGGTATAAAGAGTAGTACACACTCTGGTATAAAGAGTAGTACACACTCTGGTATAAAGAGTAGTACACACTCTGGTATAAAGAGTAGTACACACTCTGGTATAAAGAGTAGTACACACTCTGGTATAAAGAGTAGTACACACTCTGGTATAAAGAGTAGTACACACTCTGGTATAAAGAGTAGTACACACTCTGGTATAAAGAGTAGTACACACTCTGGTATAAAGAGTAGTACACACTCTGGTATAAAGAGTAGTACACACTCTGGTATAAAGAGTAGTACACACTCTGGTATAAAGAGTAGTACACACTCTGGTATAAAGAGTAGTACACACTCTGGTATAAAGAGTAGTACACACTCTGGTATAAAGAGTAGTACACACTCTGGTATAAAGAGTAGTACACACTCTGGTATAAAGAGTAGTACACACTCTGGTATAAAGAGTAGTACACACTCTGGTATAAAGAGTAGTACACACTCTGGTATAAAGAGTAGTACACACTCTGGTATAAAGAGTAGTACACACTCTGGTATAAAGAGTAGTACACACTCTGGTATAAAGAGTAGTACACACTCTGGTATAAAGAGTAGTACACACTCTGGTATAAAGAGTAGTACACACTCTGGTATAAAGAGTAGTACACACTCTGGTATAAAGAGTAGTACACACTCTGGTATAAAGAGTAGTACACACTCTGGTATAAAGAGTAGTACACACTCTGGTATAAAGAGTAGTACACACTCTGGTATAAAGAGTAGCACACACACACTGGTATAAAGAGTAGCACACACACTCTGGAATAAAGAGTAGCACACACACACACACTGGTATAAAGAGTAGTACACACACACACTGGTATAAAGAGTAGTACACACACACTGGTATAAAGAGTAGCACACACACACACTGGTATAAAGAGTAGTACACACACACTGGTATAAAGAGTAGCACACACACACACACTGGTATAAAGAGTAGCACACACACACACTGGTATAAAGAGTAGCACACACACACACTGGTATAAAGAGTAGTACACACACACACTGGTATAAAGAGTAGTACACACACACACTGGTATAAAGAGTAGCACACACACACACTGGTATAAAGAGTAGTACACACACACACTGGTATAAAGAGTAGCACACACACACACTGGTATAAAGAGTAGTACACACACACACTGGTATAAAGAGTAGTACACACACTGGTATAAAGAGTAGTACACACACACTCTGGTATAAAGAGTAGCACACACACACACTGGTATAAAGAGTAGTACACACACACACTGGTATAAAGAGTAGTACACACACACACTGGTATAAAGAGTAGTACACACACACACTGGTATAAAGAGTAGTACACACACACACTGGTATAAAGAGTAGTACACACACACACTGGTATAAAGAGTAGCACACACACACACTGGTATAAAGAGTAGTACACACACACACTGGTATAAAGAGTAGTACACACACACACTGGTATAAAGAGTAGTACACACACTGGTATAAAGAGTAGTACACACACACACTGGTATAAAGAGTAGTACACACACAGGTATAAAGAGTAGTACACACACACACTGGTATAAAGAGTAGTACACACACTGGTATAAAGAGTAGTACACACACACTCTGGTATAAAGAGTAGCACACACACACACTCTGGAATAAAGAGTAGCACACACACACACACTGGTATAAAGAGCAGCACACACACACACACACACTGGTATAAAGAGTAGTACACACACACACTGGTATAAAGAGTAGCACACACACACACTCTGGAATAAAGAGTAGCACACACACACACACTGGTATAAAGAGCAGCACACACACACACACACTGGTATAAAGAGTAGTACACACACACACTGGTATAAAGAGTAGTACACACACACACACACACTGGTATAAAGAGTAGTACACACACACACTGGTATAAAGAGTAGCACACACACACACTGGTATAAAGAGTAGTACACACACACACTGGTATAAAGAGTAGTACACACACACTCTGGTATAAAGAGTAGTACACACACACACTGGTATAAAGAGTAGCACACACACACACTGGTATAAAGAGCAGCACACACACACACACACTGGTATAAAGAGTAGTACACACACACACTGGTATAAAGAGTAGCACACACACACACTGGTATAAAGAGCAGCACACACACACACACACACTGGTATAAAGAGTAGTACACACACACACTGGTATAAAGAGTAGTACACACACACACTGGTATAAAGAGTAGCACACACACACACTCTGGAATAAAGAGTAGCACACACACACACACTGGTATAAAGAGCAGCACACACACACACACACACTGGTATAAAGAGTAGTACACACACACACTGGTATAAAGAGTAGTACACACACACACTGGTATAAAGAGTAGCACACACACACACTCTGGAATAAAGAGTAGCACACACACACACACTGGTATAAAGAGCAGCACACACACACACACACACTGGAATAAAGAGTAGCACACACACACACACTGGTATAAAGAGTAGCACACACACACACACACACTGGTATAAAGAGTAGTACACACACACACTGGTATAAAGAGTAGCACACACACACACACTCTGGTATAAAGAGTAGTACACACACACACTGGTATAAAGAGTAGCACACACACACACTGGTATAAAGAGTAGCACACACACACTCTGGTATAAAGAGTAGTACACACACACACTGGTATAAAGAGTAGTACACACACTGGTATAAAGAGTAGCACACACACACACACTGGTATAAAGAGTAGTACACACACACTGGTATAAAGAGTAGCACACACACACACACTGGTATAAAGAGTAGTACACACACACACTGGTATAAAGAGTAGCACACACACACACTGGTATAAAGAGTAGCACACACACACTCTGGTATAAAGAGTAGTACACACACACACTGGTATAAAGAGTAGTACACACACTGGTATAAAGAGTAGCACACACACACACACTGGTATAAAGAGTAGTACACACACACTGGTATAAAGAGTAGTACACACACACACTGGTATAAAGAGTAGTACACACACACACTGGTATAAAGAGTAGTACACACACACACTGGTATAAAGAGTAGTACACACACTGGTATAAAGAGTAGTACACACACTGGTATAAAGAGTAGTACACACACACACTGGTATAAAGAGTAGTACACACACACACTGGTATAAAGAGTAGTTCACACACTGGTATAAAGAGTAGTACACACACACACTGGTATAAAGAGTAGTACACACACACTGGTATAAAGAGTAGTACACACACACACAGGTATAAAGAGTAGTACACACACACACTGGTATAAAGAGTAGTACACACACTGGTATAAAGAGTAGTACACACACTGGTATAAAGAGTAGTACACACACACACTGGTATAAAGAGTAGTACACACACTGGTATAAAGAGTAGTACACACACACACTGGTATCATAAGTAAAGAAAAAGAGTGAGAGTGAATATCCTGATGGACAACATAGGACTTCTTGTGAGCATTATTACTATTGATAACTAATACAAAATAAGAAAACTCAGTCATAATGCCGCGAGAACAAATAATATATATCATGACATTCATACAATAGACATAAATTAGCTGCCTTATCTGGTTAGGAAAATAGTGAGTTAGACATGAACCACTTGGACAGCAACTACACAGGCTGGACACTAACTCTACACACGTCTTGGATGGGAACCATAACGACGTCTTGGATGGGAACCATAACGACGTCTTGGATGGGAACCATAACGACGTCTTGGATGGGAACCATACAGACATCTTGGATGGGAACCATACAGACGTCTTGGATGGGAACCATACAGACGTCTTGGATGGGAACCATACAGACGTCTTGGATGGGAACCATACAGACATCTTGGATGGGAACCATACAGACATCTTGGACAATAATTACAGGAACTACAAGGATGTCTCGAAGAGAAATTATACAAATGTCTTTGACATGAACAACAAAGACGTCTGGGACAAAAGACATAGAGACGTCTTGGACAGAAAAATTCAGACAGCGTGGAAATGACAGACATACTGGATAAGAACAACACAGACACCTTTGACAGGAACTACACAGGTGCCAACAACAAATAAATATATTTCTTGGACAGGAACTAAGCAGACATCCTAAACAGAAACTACACAGACGTTTAGGATAGGAGATATATGGGTGTCTTTAACTAGAACTACACAAGCGTCACAGACAGAAGGTACAGAGACGTCTTGGGGATGAACTACAAATACGTCTTATAAAGGAAGCACGACATCTGTCCTGGACAGAATTTACCAATGTCATGGAGAGGAAATACCGAGATGTCATGCACAGGAACTACATAACGTTTTCAAACAAGGACAACGCACATATATCTTAGGATCGGAACTACACAGACGTCTTAGGCAGGTATTATATAGACGTCTTAAAGTGGAACTATGGAAACTTCTAAAACTGAAGTTATATAGATGACAGGGACAACATACACATCGTGGACAGGAACAACATA